AATTCTCAAAAATAATGAACGTTAACCCGTTCTTCCCATCTAAGTGAAACTTTAAACTAGATATCTCTTCGGGCATACTCGTCATAGGAGTGACCATTGCTCTAAGGTCGTTTTTAACTTTCTATAAACGCTCGCTAACATCAAATGGACTCCAGGATTCCTAGTGCCGGTTTTTGTACCCTTTTGGACAAACTATGCAGAATTATCTGTCACCCGCGAGTTCTTGTAGCATCCAAGTTGGATAAGCTCTTGGAAAATTGAACTCGTACACTCGAATGTGAGTTGGGTTATTATTTGGGGAGAGTTGAGGAGGTCTTGAGGGGCATTTCGGCTTGGTGAAGTGTGCCTGGTGGCCTGAGGTACTAACAGTGTCCTGGCGCACGTTTCAAGCACGTCTTACTTGCAGACCATATATGTGGCCTGGAGGACCTTGCAGTTTATCCTGTACAGTTGTCAATATACTTGATTTGCCCTATTGAGTTCTCTGAACGATCCTTAAGTGTCTATTGCTTGCATTGGTGATACGGTTCACCTGGCTTAGTCAGAGTCGCCCAAGACATCAACACGGCTGAATACCCCGTTGAGTCACGTGCGACTCGACCTGAGGGGATCCAAATCGGGACCCTTGATAAGTGTGACGGGGAGCGAGAACGGACACCGTTACGAAATTTTGAGAGGTTCCAAGAGGTGGCTGTGTTTAAGACAGCAGGCATTTACAAAACTATCAACACTGTCGATATAGTGAGGTAAAAAGGGTAATAGTGGTGCAAAGATCAAGAAGCAGAAATATAGTGATTGTATTGTCTGAAGGAGCGAAAGTAGAGCTCGTATGGAGCGATATATATACACAGGAGGCAGGCGCTAGGCCGAATATAGTAAAGGAAACAAATCACGTGTATCCTAACACTGTATTTCCTTAACAAAAACTTATTTATAGACGGCCGTGGAAACAATACCCGATTCTTAAGGGGTCAGGAAAGGATCCCCTGCACAAGCTCCGGCTGATTTAGAGGCATGCTCAGGGGCTCAGGACATGGCTCAGGCTAGAGCAGCGACTGCTCAGGTCCAAAAACGGAAATGGAAAATGCCATGAGAACATTCCCATGTGAGATTAGTTGTACCACAAGAGAAAACATCCTCTACTGAAGTGATATTACCCCTTCTTATTGCCTCTGCATTCCTCTTATTCTTAGCTACTACTCGCTTCTCAATTTTGCTTAATATCACCTCCTCCTGTGTATCCCCTTCATCAGCATCTAACACCTCATCCATATCACTAAATCTAAGAGTCAGTTTAAGGTCTACACAAGAGTAGTTAAGCAAGTAGTATACGGTAAGGGGAACATATTTAACACTTACTTTTCTACTGCCTCTAGGCTCATAGGAAGGAAGTGAGGTTTCCTTCCAAACCACACCTCAAATGAAGTCATGTGGGATAGAAGCATTCTAACCCTAGTTTGGCATATTACCTCCTGTAGGAGTGGTAAAAACCTTACCCAATCATACCCTCTGCCATGTTTAGCCCTCACTACTATTAGCTTTCTCTTAAACACATGATTTGCCTTCTCAACACTCCCTTGGGTCTGAGGGTGGTATACGCGGCCTTGTATAATATAGACTAGTAGGTATTGTTGTGTACAGAGATCGGCAAAATCCCCTTTAAATTCGCCTCTATTATCAGCATAAAAGCACCTGGGAGAGCTATTATTAGAGAACCAGTTGGTAGTAGCTTTGGCTATATCAGCAGACTTATGCTACTTCAAGGGGTAGTTGGCTCCCACTCACTATAACGAGAGCTTGCTTGAAATTGTTTGCTGAGGGATGGAGGCAGAGGAGGTATAAAATCTTCTGTCTCGAGAAGGAGAACAGGAGCGTGGTTCACTCAACATTTCGAGCGCACGATGCGGAGAGGGATGAGATCGGCTTGTTGAATTAGTTCGGTATAGTCTTGTGGCTGCAATGAATGCTGGAATACGAATACTTGGGAAAGTTCCGCTGGCCAGAGAGTTACTCTCAGTTGGCAAGTATTGGTGAAAGGATTGAGGAGGAGAATTTACTGTCATACAAATTCACCTTCGAGAATTGTGGGAAGTGTTCGGACGAAGAAGAGGGACTGGAAAAGCAAAGAGAATGTGTTGAGAAAGGGTATCTGAAAGCTGGAGATGAGCTGCGGTGTGTTTTACTTGTGAGATGATTGCGAATTGCTGCTTGCTCGGGTGCTAGCTTCTCCTTGAACGCGTGAAAAGGAAAGGAGCTGAAACAAGAAGATAAATAGTAAGTATCACGACTTACCTCCCCAGATCGTAAGTCGAATAATGCCAGTCTTTGAGGTGGCCGAATCTCTCATTATCATGCCCTGTGAGGGCCTCATCTGACGCATCCACTAGGGATCATCCATCCACAACCATCAAGATCATGAACACAACTACAGCTACAGCATCCCCATGCATCCCAACAGAAAACCAAGGAGAAGAGTTGTGAACGAAGAGGTCGTCCAACCTACGGCGTCCGTCCCTCCCACTTTTCCTATCCTCAAGAAAGGTTTTAAGTGACGAGAGATACAAAGACAAAGCAAACGCGATTTCCTTCCGTTATATTTCGTATCCAAAACAGCAAAGCGGGGGGTATTAGAAAAGAGTAGAGGGTGATGTGTCGATTTCATCGGAAGGCGGCCAACCTCGTGAGTGAAGTGAAATTTGTGTGGGTGCAAATTCCATAAATGGTCCAATCTGATGGAGATCGCTCTCAGCCTCAAAACAATTTAACTCCGGGCTGAGTACCTGACGCAGTTATACAACTTTAGATGGTCTTGGGAGAACGGGAGTTGCTGCTTTAGTCAGTATGGAAGATATATTTAGGCATGGGAGGAAGCGTACCCCATATCCACAATATCATCGACATGGTTGCAAAGAGCTACGAAAAGGTCAAAGAAAAGTTTACCGCCATTCTCCATTTCTGTCTGCATGGTTCCGCTCCTCTTAAATGTCTTGCGACATCTAATAATCAAAGCAAGATAATGAGCGCGTAGCCGGGAGTCCGAGTCCGGCGTGTTGTCATAGGCATATCGTGCGCTGCGAAGGATGGTAGCGACTTCGATTCCGCTCTGCAGACCTTGTTTCCGAAGAGCAAGGCGTTTGAGCTCCTCCAAGCCGTATTTCTCTGCCGCACAATATATGACGGTGTCCTTTAAAAGGTGTTCTCCCACGCTGGAGATATATGTTGTAGCCTCGACGGATCCGCGGCCACCTGGGTTTTCTGGGTTTGGGGACTTTTCGGCATCCTCGAGTTCCCAAGAGCTTCTGCGCTTGTTGTGCACCAAGCGGGGGTAGTAGTCGCCCTTCTACAAGGCATTAGCAGATGTCCTCAACAATATAAGGTGAATATCCGTACGTATAAGTATTCGAGAACACACGAAAAGATTTCGGGTTCTTCGTCCGGTAGATCGATCCTCTTACTCTGCGCCTCAAGAAACTTCCCTCTACAAGCCGCCGTGAAGTACGGCGACAAGCTTAGGACATCCTCATGCGCCGCAAAAAGCCGTCCTTCCCTTCCGACTGTGAATGTCACAATCTGCGAGGTCAGAGAACTACCCACGCACACGTCAGTCTGTGCCAATTCGGTTTGCGACAATCAGGCAGCATACCTCCCGACTTGCGGGCTCTGATCGAACGACTTCTGCAATTTCGCCAACTTCGTGGGATCCCTCAGTGACTTCTTCAACTTAACAGCCTTCTCGACGCGGTCGTTCGATCGGAAAGAGCGCTTGAACATGGCTGCGGTGGTGGTGATTGTGGTGTTGATTCGGTGAGGCTGGGGGATTGGAGGGGTATATTGAACGAGTGACGAAAAGAGTGTGGAGATCTGGAAAACTGACGCACAAAAAGATTGACTGGGTCCTGGCAGATATCCCTAGATTTCAAAAAGAAGGACTAGAGCTTATCGTGATGTTTTGCGACCCGAGGTGTGGTGAGGAAGGAAGAAAGTAGAAGAGGCGCGAAGCCTGAGATATATACTGGGCGCGCTGGCGCATGGCTGCCCTGCCTGATGGGCTTGGCGCGGGGACACGTGATACGGTGAGCTGGATGGGGGCTGCGGGATAAAGATCGAGGAAGATACTTGGATTGGTGTGACAGTGCATTGCATGGGCTTCGTTTTGCAGCGATTCGTGGTTGTTATTCGTCGCGCTGGACTGCAAACATGCGTCACTACTCATGCCTACAAAAACGCCAGAAACTTACCCCGGTGAAGTGGGCGGAGCAACAGCCGACAGGGGAGTGAACGGGGTCATTGGTCGCCCTTCGAAATCTGGGGCGCGAGATCACGAGACTGATGAGTTGTAAACTTTATTTATATGTGGAGTGAAGGAAGAATGCAAAGAAGGATATTAATCCTTTCTTGGACTGAAGGAGATCTGTTCATGAGCAGTGTGCTGTTGGATGTGGTGAGAGTCACGTGAGAGAGCCTCGGCCCTTCACCTGGGCTGGTTTGTTCACTGAGGGAAGGCAGATGATAATTGACACAGTAAGGAATGAGGAAGTAAACAATTCAGAATCCGGACGCCCCTCCAGGTTCGAGGGTGGTTGAGTGTAGATTCTAAGATCGGGCCAGCAAATGTTGTGGGCCGATTAACAGGAGAGTCATTGAGTGGTGCCAGGTCCCCACCAACACACAAAAGGAATATGTATATTGAAGTCAAGTAGCTAGGAATGCCTTCAAATGGCGAAGTGCTTATGAGCAAAATCTTGCCGATGATGCCTCTGGAGACTACCAATTCTGAAGCACAAGGAACGTTTAGAGTTGGAGAAAGGAGGTGACTCATCCCATTTCATACCGGCAACTTTGCCATTGTGCTTACTTCTTGTCGTATACCTATTACAGAGTGTGTGTATTTCTTTTGGAGTTGTGAGAGCTGAGTCCGCGCCCCACATACATTCCCCATCCTTTAGCCGAGCGCACTAACCATTTATAAACCCAAATAAGCACTTTCTCTCCACAAATCAGCCTCTTTAGCTCAGTGGTGTAAGGATTCCCATTCGACCATAATCTCAAAGAGCAATAACTAACATTCAAACAGAGAGCGAGAGATTGCAGTTCATACAACTATCTCTAGGTCATTAGTTCGATCCTGATAGGAGGCTATCATTTTTGCAATTTTTTGGGTTACAAGCGGATGGTGGATGAGAGAGCATGGTTTATTTTTAGAACCTCTGTTAATGGGGTACATTTTTTGTGTTTCAGTTGTTCGGCAGTGTGCCGAAAGTTGTCTTCGGCTTCGCTTGCAGCCCGATTGTCGGTAATTTTCCGGGCTTGGAAGGACCAACCTACTTTCATTCTGTTAACAACCCGCTCTTGCACGTTTGGACCGTTGCACGGTTGAGGGTTGTTGCTAACTTCATTTAGCACACCTTTCAATTTCATAGCTTGGATGTACATTCCAGTGCTTCCATAAAGTAGCTCAAGTCGGAAGTTCTCAGGAATCAGCTCTCGCGTAAAAAGGAGGCGGGGTAAATAATTGCCCCTCATTTCAATCTTTGCACATTTGATAATAAATTTTCCACGATGTTACAAACTACACAACATGCGCATTGTTCAGACATTTTTTGGACAACTATTTTCACTTGTGGGTGACACGATCTATCTTACTTATAAAGACAGACCTCCAGGCATCGCATATGACTGGATACATCTCGTCCTCCACGTGTGCTTGAGTCCATTCCTCGAATCTCGCCAGACTACATATCCGTCACCGAAATGACAAGTGCTTCCGCATCTCAACCCTAAGTAGTCTAAGCTTATCGCGATCTCATGGCTCCCATGACACTTAGTCTACAAAATGACACAAGCCTGTTGACTAGTAGGAGGAAAGTAAACGAGAGCCGTCCTTGCTCATAGTATGCAAACTCAAGCTTAGTCCCATTACAGAACTTCAACCACTCAGAGCCATTAGGATCACCCAGCCGATAGCTCATATACACCTCGCCATCCCTAAAAAGCCCATCCATCTTAAACCAAGACTTCTTACGATACTTCCCCTCTCCAATCCAAGTACTTTTAAGTGATGCCCAATTATTCAAATGCTCGAAAACAACACTCGTATCGCCGCAAAGTCTGAGGAGAGCTGGAGATCTGAGAGGTCGTTCAAGAACTGCATCTCGCGTCAACTTCAAGAAACTGTTCTCGGAAGCGGAGTATGCGATCTTCTTCTCGTTATAGGCGTTTTCAATGAGGAAGATAACGGCCCACACCAAGACAATCAACAGGCCAGGATGACCGTGAGTTATTTCGATTTTGTCGACGCACTCATCAATATATCTCGATCTCGGCATATCCTCGAGGTAACCAGCTTCATCGAGGTGAAAGCTGTCGCTGGCTAAGAACTAACAGACTGGATCGTGTTTGAGGGTGAAAGGGCTATGGTTTAATATTCCGTCTTTCTTGAGCCGTGGAAGGAGGGTGGAGTGGTTGGGGAGGGCGATTATGTAACAGACTGTGAGCTTGTGTGGTACGAGGAAGTTGCAGTCTGAATCTTCGATCGTGCTGGCTTGCTTGCTTGCTTGCTTGCTTGTCTCGATTGCACCGTTGTATTTGCTCAAGGGGGGTTTTTGTTGCCATGAAGAAGAAGAGTCAATCTTTTGGGGATCGGGGACAAAGTTTGTAGTAATGCTTTTAGCCACATTGGAGCTCTTCTTGGGAATTGCTGTGGCTGGGATAGCCGGAGTAACGAGCGGATCGACGGATTTGGAGACTGCTTCGGCGGCGATAGGAAGATTCTCAGTGGTGCCTGAAAGCTCGTCGACCTGGATTTGTTGTGGAGGCGCGGGAGAATTCCTCTGAGAGCCTATGGATAGTACAGAGGTTAGTTTCAGAATACAATTAGGGTAGGAATCACCAAACTTGCACTAGTTCTGAGCACTCTTCGTAAATGAGACCAGGGGGGTGTGTAATTCTTTCCGTAAGTTGTTGAGAGATGTCGAATGGATCGGGCGCAGAGACTGTATGCTGAATATCTACCGAGCCTGCGTTCTTCAAAGATTGAGCGTCGTTTTTTGACAACCCGCCTTCAGATGTTCCATACTTGGCAGTCAATGTGCCAGAACCAGAGAAGATAACCAAGGGCGCTTTATCGGAATGACTAGGTCGGATATTAGACTTTTGGTTGGCATGGAAGTTAAGGTTCATGAGGCTCTCTCTCAAAGCAGCTGTATGATCTGAGGCTCTCGATCCCGAACGAGTTGGGATGTTCTGCCCACCTGTGGAGAGGTCGAGTTCCAAGAATCTTCGAATTCAAAATTTGAGTGTGCGAGCTTTTGTAGCCAAATTCTTGCAGCTCGCTAAGATGCGCGCTAAACTAGGGTCCGATAAGATGAAGTCATTTGATTGTCATGTGTAGAATGTTCTAGATAATTAAGAAGAGCATGGCGTTATTCAATATGATTATAGAACCATTCTATCTACACTGATGTTGTTTAATTTCAAATCATATGCATGAATTCCAAGAACTCCAGCCGTTAAAGAGTTACACAGTTGGAAACTTGAGTCTCGCTTATACTAGTAAGCACAATATAGAAAACCGTTGAAAGTGACAAGGTCCTTTAGGTTGCTCAAGTATTTGTTCCACCCCTGCAAACACCCAGCCATGACCAAATAATAGTCAGTACTATTCTATGAACACAAAGGACCTTCTGATTTTGGGAGGGGGCCGCAAAGGTGATGTATATATCGCAAGAAGTTGATTGCAGCAAATAAAAACGGAAGTAGTCAAACACTCAAACAAAGTCAGGAAGTATTTGCTCCTCCAAACTTCAGCTGCATTCTCCGTCAAAAGGTCGTCTTGAGCTTGGCACGTTTAGGTTGATTAAACATCATACTATCCTTCTACATATATCTATTTACAACGAAAGAGCTTTGTAGTAACAAACATCTGCTGATACATACTCAAGTCACCAAATAAGCGCTCTCCATCCCATCCGCAAAACTCGAGCCAGGAACACTATTTTTCAACCAACAATAATTAACCGCCGTCCCCTGCGGCCCCCTATAGACCCATGTAACAGCATAACACTTTGTCACCGCATTCGCATCAGCATTCTGCTTTGCACAAAGAGCAAGACATTCTGCCATATTATTGGCATTTGAGCGGGAGAAGTCTGATCCTGCGAGATCGGTATTGCAGCGGCGGACGAACTTTTGGGATGTGTTTGGGACCACGTAATTTGTGTTATCTGTGCCGGGGCAGGATATTTGGACCCCACCTGGGCCGATGCTTGATGTTGCCGAGCTTGAGGTACTGGTGGGATTGGCATTTGAATTTGTTACTGTGGCAGATCCGCTAGCCGCTGTAACGGTTCGGATGGCAGTTGATACAGACACAGGAGTTGAAGCCGAGTTCGGATTCGTTGTTGCGGTTGGAAAGGAGTAGCTTGCCGAGTTGGCCTGCCCTGAGGTCATGCTAATGGATTAGGTCAGTATAGGTTATGGTGAAGGATTTCTGGAATATCAAATTGTACCTTGAGGAAGTGCCAGTATTATTAGACTTGTGCTTGATAACCAGCGCAGCGGCTGTCGCACCGCCAGCGATAGCTGCGAGTGCTAGGACTGCCAAGCCGAATGCTAGCCAAAATGTTGTCTTTCGCAACCCACAAATCTTCTTAGGTGGGGGATCTACATTGGCAACCGCCACTGGGGGCTTCTCCCCAGTATTTTGAGTTGGATATGAAATCGGATATGGGGTCGCATACGGAGGCGCAGGTGAGTAAGGTGCAGGTGTCGGAGGTGCATATATCTGTGGTGTAGGTGTGTGAGCTGCAGCTGTTTGCGCAGGATGGTCAACGACTTGAAGTTCGGAATAATAACTCGCAGACGCATTCGAAGCCGGCTCGAGGCCTGGCTGTTGATAATGGGAAGCCATAGACTTTTGCAGATTCTCGTGGTAAAGGATCAGAGATTATTTTGCGACGGGGGTTGAAGGTGAAGTTAAACATTGCCAGTGTCTTACAACTGGTGAGACATTTGAGACAAATCATTTTGAAGTCATGATCAGCTGTGTGCCGTAGATTTGGTTGTCTTGAGCGAAGTCCAGTAGAATTTTTGTTAGAAGCATGGCTGAATCAAAGCCGAATGGGTGCGTTCTGGCGGGAACGCCACATTGTCACCAGAGTGGCTAGTTGGATTTTGACCAAGATTGGCTGCTGAAACTTCTTATCGTGATTCGTTCAAGTAATAGTCGCCAAAAAAGCGGATTCTAATCTGAAAGAGCTGAAGTGTCAAACAATAGCTACGCATAAACTGCTGGAATAGAATTCTTCTTTGTTGGGGATTCTTTTACAACCTAGTTCGATGCAGAATCTCGTTATAATACACACCCATCGTTCCTGGAGCATTGTTCACGAGTTTCTCTTGGAGAGATACAATAGTACGGGACTCAATTTTGTGCAGGTCTCTAGATTAAATAGGTCTTCAAGTAATGATTCATAGAAGTGTTCCAGACAACCATCGCCCACGGAATCTATGCCAAGACCTGTCATTACCCCGCCCTGCGCCTCCCGACCAATTATAGAACCCACCAAAAACACAAAACTGGAATCACGGAGAAGCCACAGGTGTAAAACATATTCAAAGGAGGTGTGAGAAGCAAAGAACCCTAGATTCATCGGAGAAACGTAAAAACATTCTGTGTAACTGCCTCCTACTCTTTGAATTATCCCTCCACCCTATCTTTTGCTCTGTTATTAGTGAGAAGCCACGTCTTCGACGTAAGCGAGTGCATTCTCATCAACAAAGTTTCAGAACCTCTACGTAGAAGCTGTGTCGAAAGGACTAACATAGCACTTTCCATCATATCATAGGATATTGTGGCCGGAACTTTATCTTTCAACCAGCAATAATTGGCATAGGTTCCCTGTGGGCCACCATATACCCAAGTGACTGCATAGAAGAACGTCGCGGAGCTGGGATCGAGGTTGTTTTTGACACAAAGAGCCATACACTCTGCCAAGCTTTGTGTAGTAGAACGGGAGAAGTCTGACCCGTAATAATTGACTTTGCAGCGGCGTATGAACCAGCCGTTTGTATTCGGTGCCATGTAGTTAGTATTATCAGAACTTGGGCACGTAACGAGCCTGCCGACATAAGTCTGTAG